GGACATTTTATTTAAATGGAGTTATATAATATATGGTCTTTTGAAGAAAATCTTTTTATTGATTTCAGAGAGCAAGGGAGAGAGAGAAAAACATCAATGATGATAGAGAATCATTGATTGGCTTCTTCTTGCATGCCCCACACTGGGGATCAAGCCCACAACTAGGGCATTTGCCCCAAATGGGAATCAAACCATGACCTCCTAGTTCTCACCACTGAACCACACTGGCCTGGCATTATATGTGGTCTTATTTAACTGGCTTTTTTCATTGAGAAAATGTCCACATTGTTGCATGCATCACTACTCCATTCCTTTTTAATGCCAACTGATATTCATTGTCACATTTTGTTTATCTCTTCATCACATAATGGACACTTGGATTGTTTCTTCCTTCTGGTTACTATGAATAACACTGCTTTGAGCATGTCTGTTCAGGTTTCTGTGTGGAACTATGTCTTCACTTTCTTGGGTATATACCTAGGAGTGGAATTGCTGGACCATGTGGTAACTCGATATTTATTTGTTTGAGGACCTGCCAGAGAGTTTTTCCAAAGTGGCTGCACCATTTACAGTCCCCTAAGCATGTACGTATTAGGTTTCTGTTTCTCCACATTCTAGCCAACCCAGTGGGTGCAAAGTAGTTATCTTGCTGTGATTTTTATTTGCACTTCCCTGATGATTAATAATGTTGAGCATCTTTTCATGAGCTTATTGTCCACTTCTGTGTCTTGTTTGGAGAAATGTCTATTCAGATCCTTTGCCCGTTTTTTAATTGAATTATTGTCCTTTTATTATTGAGTTGTAAGAGTTCTTTATATATTCTGCAGACAACTCCTTCATCAGATATATGATTTGCGAATGTTTTTCTCCTATTCTGAAGGTTGTCTTTTCACTTCCTTGATGGTGTCCTTTGAAGTACAAAAGTTTATGATTTTAAAGGAGTCTCATTTATCTGTTTTTTTTTTCCTTGGTTGTTTGTGCTTTGGGATCATAGCTAAGAATCCTTTGCCAAACCCAAGGTCAAGAAGATTTACTCCTGTTTTCTTCTAAGGGTTTTATAGTTTTGTCATTTAGGTCTTTGATCTATTTTGAGTGAATTTTTGTGTATGGTGTGAGATAACGGCCAAACTTCATTCCTTTGCGTGTGGTCCCTTTCTCTTCTAATCTTTATTTGTATCTTCTCCCAATCTGTCCTCACTCCATTCATTTGGTTATGATGTCCTTTGTAGAATAGAAACAGGCTGCATTTCTCAATGTCAGGTTGCTCCTAGAACTCTCTTAAGATGCAAACTTCCTCAAGTCTCCATGGTGACCCCATGACTGAGGGGAAAAGATGTAAGTGAAGTCACTGAATCAATCATCTTTTATGCATTGAAAGCTAATTGCCTTCCTTGGAGACTCCAAGGGCCTTCTGGAATTGCAAACAAGTATCAGGTTAACTATTTTCTCCTTCCTTTATCTAGCAGCCAATAAATACTGAAATCACTTGCAGTGAAAGTAGCAGGATGTTAATGATGAGAAATACAGTCAGCCTGGCCAGGTGACTTGGTTGGTTGGCGCATCTGCCTGTACACCAAAAGGTTGCTGGTTTGATTCCTGGCTAGGGCACATACCTACGTTGCCGGTTCAGTGCCCAGTTAGGGCACTTAAGGGAGGCAACAGAAAAAGGTTTTTAAAGGAGTCTCATTTATCTCTGTCTCTGTCTCTCTCTCTGTCTCTCTCTCTCTCTCTCTCTCTCTCTCTTCTTTTCTCTCTAAAATTAATAAAAACATATCCTCAGATGTGGATTAAAAAAAGAAGACAAAATAAATACAAAAGTCATATAACAATAAAAAATAAGCACTCAAGACTTGGTGATTAAGGGGATAAAGACCTCTTGGTTCTTTCTTCCAAGGCCAAGCTTGCCCTTGTCATCTAACTAAGCCACCTTAGTACTGTGTCCCCTTCCTGCACGGGTCCTTCCCCCTCCTCTCTCACCCCCGTCCCTTCTCCTTTCTCTGGGCCCTGGCCACAGCCATCCTGAGGACTTTCTCCCAGCCAGTCTCTCCCTTCCTTTGGAATCCTGTCAGTCTCCGGGATGCAAAGAAGACTTCTTCTAGAGCAGCAGTTCTCAACCTGTGGGTCGCGAGCCCTTTGGTGGTCGAACGACCCTTTCACAGGGGTCGCCTAAGACCATCCTGCATATCAGATATTTACATTACGATTCATAACAGTAGCAACATTACAGTTATGAATTAGCAATGAAAATAATTTTATGGTTGGGTCACAACATGAGGAACTGTATTTAAAGGGCCAGAAGGTTGAGAACCGCTGTTCCAGAGTCTCAGCTCAGTGGCTTCACGCTCCCTGTGCTGCTCTGGCTCTGGCTCTGGCTCAGGCTCTGGCTCCCCATCATAGATGTGGGTCAGGTCCCTTATTTTTGTTGGTGGTGTCCGACTCTATCAGTCTCCGCATTTGTCCCTCCATCCGCTTCAGCTGAGACTGCTCGCTGGTAAATTTCCTCTTGTCTTTATCTCTAGCCTCTGAAACTCAGCATTTACTTTAATAAATTATGGCATCACACAGCTCGCGTTGCTCCCAAGAGGGAATACGACACCATAGATAGCTCTTGTGAACGGGGCGCAGTGGCAGGAGGAATGAAAGGAAACAGACAGCTAGGACACGGTTTTGAGAGAAACAGAAGTGAACCCCACAGCTGAAATGATGGAGGCCTGGGGCGTTTCCAAACTTGGGTACTTCTAGAGGCAACAGGACCCCCTGGCTGCGGAGCCCCGTGTCAATCCTTGGCCACCACCCCTGCCCTCTGGGAGCCCCTTCAGCCCTACATGGGTCCCCACCTTGGTTGACCCAGCCCTCACCCTGTCCCTCCCAATAGGGCGGGACCAACAGAGCCATAAAGCTCCAGAAGGAACCCAGACAAAGGCTGGCTGCAGCAGCGAGAGGAGCCGAGCACGCAGGTATGTTCTGATGGGCCATCGGGAGAGTCGAGAAGGGGATGACTGGCAGGGGAGGGAAGCGAGGCCTGGAGTGAGGGGCCAGGAGAAATGAAGACCCGAGAGACCCAGAAAGCCAGGGGCAACCTCCCGGAGGTGAGATGGTAAAGGCTGTGGGGAGGTCAGACTGGTGAGCCCAAACTTATGACATTCTGGAAAAGGCAACAAATTATGGAGATGGTAAAAGATCAGGGGTTGGGGTGGGGAGTGCTGAGTAGCTAAGCACAGAGGATTTTTAGGGCCGTGAAACTACTCCGTAGGACTAGCAATGGCGGTTACATGTCAGTACACATCTGTCCAAACCATAGAATGTACAGCACCAAGAGTGAACCCTGAGGTAAACTATGGACTTTGGGTGCTAATGATGTGTCAGTGTAGGTTCACTGATCGTAACAAATGCACCACTCTGGTGAGGAGTGTTGATAATGAGGGAGACTGTACATGCAGGGGGCAGGGGGCAGATGGGGAGTCTTTGTACCTTGTGCTCAATTTTGCTGTGAACCTAGAACTGCTCTAAAAAAGTAAAGTCTATTTTTAAAAGGAGGCTGACCCAAAAATGTAATAGTAAAACAGGAGCTCACCCCGTAGCCTTCTGCAGTCTCTGGCTTCCCCCAGGGCCACTGTGTCTCACCCATGGCTTCAGGCTGGACAGCACAAAGACAGGTGAGTCCCCAGCCTTGCACCAGGGCCAGGGGGACAGGACCAGGCACAGGGACAGATTGGCTGCCCTGAGGGATGGGCTATGAGGGAAGACCCTGACCACACCCACCCACAAAATAGAAGGAAAAAGGACATCTCCCTGCACCACCACCTGGGATGGCCGCACCCTGAAGTGCCCTCCCAGGGGCCACAGATGGTCAATTGGCCACAACCTGAGCGGCCCACGAAGGACACAAAGCAGCCGGGCAGCACTGGCCAACTGGTCCTCAGCCAGCCATAATCTACAGCCTAATCTCAATCAAATCCGACTATGCTGCTCAAATTTAAAATCCTCTCATACCACTGAGGGTTTCCTGAAGGTTGGCTTTTAAAAAGAAGAGTAGTGCCGGCCGTGGTGGTTCAGTGATTGAGTGTCAACCTATGAACCAGGAGGTCATAATTCAATTCCTGGTTGGGGTATATGCCCGGGTGGCGGGTTTGATCCTTGTAGGGGGCGTGCAGGAGGCAGCCAATCAATAATTCTCATCATTGTTATTTCTATCTCTCTCTTCCTCTCTGAAATCAATAAAAATATATTTTTTTAAAGGAAGAGGAGCTAAAGATTCTTGAGTGCTTCCTAGAAGGTAAGCACAGTTCTAAACACATTATTCTACTGACTAATTGATTTCCCTCAAAATCCTACGAAGTAGGTACTGTGGTTGTTTATTTCCATTGTACAATTGAGAAAATGGAAGCTCAGAGAGTTTAAGCAACCTGCCCAAGTCCACACAGCTGGTCCTAGTGGTGGGACATGTAGCTCTTGAAACCAGGTAACCTGATCCCAGAGCCCACTCTTTGAACTTCTGCACTGCATTTCAAATTTTAGAATTTAAAATATTCTGGTGGATCAAAAATATAGTTCTACTATTAATAGCCATGTCAACATAAGAAACATCCAAACCTATAGATAATTTTCATAAGAGTTTATTTGAGCCAAAACTGATGACAAGTGACAGGAAGCAGGATCTCAAGTCCTCCTGAGAATGACAGTTTGTAGTCTCAGTTATGCATTGGGAGTTGAGAAAGATGACATGAGGATGCAAGAAAGCAAGGGCCAATGCTCAATTGACAAGATTGTGTGCTCCCTTGAGGATGGTTACACCTCGGAGGGAATGAAAAAGAGGGTCACTGTGGTATTTCAGAGGTGTATTAACCTAGAATCTTGGTCCCATATAAACAACAACAGTGGCCAGGGCTGGCTTAAAAACCTCTCATGGCCCGGGCCATCACTACCCACCATGACCTGCGCAGGGAAGGGTTTCTGTTTATCACAGCACCTTCTTTTCATCCAGACACAGGACGTAAGAAGTGCATTTGGAGGGGTGCCCTGTGTCACAAGCCCTGGCTGAGTCACTCTAACGGTGGAGGTGCAGCCATTCTGAGATAATGCACACATAAGGGGAAAGCGGAGTTGACATAGGTATGAAAATCTGCAGGACTAAACAAGGCTTACAGACAAGCGAGGAGAGTGTAGAATTAAAATCAATGGAAAGCACAGGTCTGAGCAGCCTGGGGCCCCAGCTGCACCAGCATGGCCACTGGCTGGCATGGCGGCCAAGGGATAAAGCTGTGTCTATTGGGAAACTACAGGGCCAGCCTAGCGGAAACCCATATCTTCCCATAAAACAACTGAGTTCATGTTTCCCACATTCTAGAGCCATGAGGCGAGAGAGGCCGGCCCTCGGCTGGGCTGTGGCTGCTGTCTTGATGCTGCAGACGCTGGCCATGGCGAACCCCTCCCCACAGACCCTGCGTAGCCAAGCCAGAGTGTTCTTGGACCTGAGCAAGGAGGAGCTGAAGGCCGTGCGCAGCTTCCTCTGGTCCCGGAAGGACCTGAGGCTGGAGCCCTCCCAAGGATCAACCATCGCCAAGAACTACTGTGTTCCTCATTGAGATGCTGCTGCCCAGGAAGCAACAGGTGCTGAAATTTCTGGACCACGGTCAGAGGCGGCCGGCTCGGGAGGCGCGTGCCATCATCTTCTTCGGAGCTCAAGAGCATCCCAACATCACAGAGTTTGCAGTAGGGCCACTGCCATGGCCCCACTACCTGCGCCCGCTGCCCCCCAGGCCTGGGCACCAGATGTCCTGGACCTCCAGGCCCATCTCCTCGGCGGAATATGTCCTACTGAGCCACACCCTGGAGGAGGCCACCAGGCCCTTGCACCAATTTTTCCTGGACACCACGGGCTTCTCCTTCCAGGACTGCAACACCCGATGCCTGACTTTCACCGACGTGGCCCCTCAGGGCTTGGCCTCGGGCGAGCGCCGCACCTGGTTCATCTTGCAGCGCTTTGTGGAAGGCTTCTTCTTGCACCCCACAGGCCTGGAGCTCCTCCTGGACCACAGCAGCATGAACGCCCAGGACTGGGCGGTGGAGCAGGTCTGGTACAACGGGAAGTTCTACCAAAGCCCAGAAGAGCTGGCCCGGAAGTACGATGCCGGAGAGGTGGACGTGGTGGTCCTGGAGGACCCGCTCCCCGAGGGCAAGGGAGCCAAAAGGGCAAGAAGGAGCCGCCCCTCTTCTCATCCTACAAGCCACGCGGGCACTTTCCCAGCCCCATGACCGTGAAGGGCCCCCACCCGGTCCAACCCCAAGGCCCCCGCTACAGGCTGGAGGGCAACGCCGTGCTCTATGGGGGTTGGAGCTTCGCCTTCAGGCTGCGGTCCTCCACGGGGCTACAGGTGCTGAACCTGCATTTCGGTGGGGAGCGCATTGCCTACGAGGTGAGCCTCCAGGACGCAGCGTCACTGTACGGAGGCCACACACCTGCGGGCATGCAGACCAAGTACAGCGACGTGGGCTGGGGTTTGGGCACCGTCACCCATGAGTTGGCCCCTGGCATCGACTGCCCAGAGACGGCCACCTTCCTGGATGCCCTCCATTACTACGATACCGACGACCCTGTCCACTACCCCCGAGCCCTCTGTGTCTTCGAGATGCCCACGGGGGTGCCCATTCGGCGCCACTTTGACTCCGACTTCGATGGTGGCTTCAACTTCTATGCAGGGCTCCAGGGCCAGGTGCTGGTGCTGCGGACGACGTCCACGGTCTACAACTATGACTACATTTGGGACTTCATCTTCTAGCCCAACGGGGTGATGGAGGCCAAGATGCACGCCACTGGCTACGTGCAATCTCAGGGAGCACCCAGGGTGTGGCAGCCTGGACCCTGTCCCTGCCTTGGGGCTTGGCTGACCCCTGGGTCTGGTGGGTTGGGTAGAAAGGTGCGCTCAGGGTAGCAGAGAGGACAATGCCTCGATGTCAGCAAGGTCGCTGCTGCCTGGCACCTGGAGGTGGACGCAGCACCATTGGGGTTACTCACTGTGTCTCCTGGGTTAATGGTATCACCGCAGTATAGGCCTCCTGGCGGGATGTGGCCTGACATCAAGTCAGAACCGCCCCCAGAACCAGAAAGGTGGCTCCCATTCTTAACCCCGCCCTCCCCACCCAGCTCAGCCCCCTCCAACCACGCCCTGGGAACAGGAGGTGGTGCACACAGCCCCCGCCTGGGGAAAGATGGCCGCCGATCTCTGGGGCTGCAGGACAGCCAAAGCCTGGGACCCAGGGCTCAAAGGAACTTCCCACAGTCCCACCGCAACCACCGCAGCTGCGGTGAGCTATCACATCATCCTCCAGTTCCCCTGTTGGTTTTTGTGTTTAATCCCTTCCACCCCACAGCTGGCTCCATGCGAACCCCCGACACCACGTTCGCCCCTGATGGTTTGCAGCTGGATGTGGTCTGGGGTGGAGAACCCAGTGTAAAATGGGGGGAGGGGTACTTTGGGTGCTGGATCCTCATTCTGCATCTCCCTTCACACCCGCAGGCACCAAGAATAGCTTCCAGACGCTGGGCATGAAGCTAGAAAACATCACCAACCCCTGGAGCCCGGAGCACCGGCTGGTCCAGCCAACCCTAGAGCAGACGGGGTACTCCCGTGAGCGCCAGGCAGCCTTCCGCTTCGGACGGACTATGCCCAAGTACCTGCTGTTCACCAGCCCCAAGGAGAACCGCTGGGGCCACCAGCGCAGCTATCGGCTGCAGATTCACTCCATGGCTGAGCAGGTGCTGCCGCCCGGCTGGCAGGAGGAGCGGGCTGTCACCTGGGCCAGGTAAGGAGGCCTGGGAGGTTGTGGGGGGGGATGCCAAGAGGCCCTGCCCTATGTGTCCCTGAACCCCGACCCTCACCGAAGCTTTATTTTATGTCAGATCACACAAAGCAAAGCAAGGGGAGCGGTCAACATGTTTAAATGTTCTTGCGAGTTTCAAATCCATTTCCTTACTCGAGCCTTAATTTGGCAGCACTTGCTTCACCTCCCACAGCCCATTAGCTACCTAGGACCAAGGGAGGACTCTAAGGACAAGCTTAATTGTGCCAGGAGGGCTCTGCCCTCCAAGCTGGGACTTGTATGTGGCTCTGCCTCTATAACCTCTCCCTACATTTCCCTGTGTCTCATGTGGCTGTTTTTCTGTCTATGAGACTCTGTGTCTATGTGTATGTGTGTGTGTATTTGTGCGTGCATGTGTGTGTGCGTGTGTGCGTGTGTGTGTGTGCTGGCCCCCCCCCATGCCCAGAGCCACCTGGCTGCTCTGCCCGGCAGGTACCCCCTGGCAGTGACCAAGTACCAGGAGTCTGAGCTGTGCAGCAGCAGCATCTACAACCAGAACGACCCCTGGGACCCGCCTGTGGTCTTTGAGGAGTTTCTTCAAAATAATGAAAATATTGAAGAAGAGGTACTGGCCCCGCATTCTTCCAGCCCCAGGCCCAGACTAGAGCTGTGCCCTATCCTGGGACCTGCACCCCATCCCAGGGCCTGTGCCAGCAGCACCTCGCTGTGTGGAGAGCAAGCTCAGTGTCCCCAGATCTGCCCATTCCTTATGAGGAGAGCTTGAGGGGTCGCCCACCCCTCGCCTCTCCGAACCCGTCAGCACTGCCCACCCCTCTCTCCCACAGGACTTGGTGGCCTGGGTGACAGTGGGCTTCCTGCACATCCCCCATTCAGAGGACATCCCCAACACGGCCACCCCTGGGAACTCCGTGGGCTTCATGCTCCGGCCCTTCAACTTCTTCCCCGAGGACCCATCTGTGGCATCCAGGGACACCGTGATCGTGTGGCCCCGTGACAAAGGCCCCAACTACGTGCAGCGATGGATCCCTGAGGAGGGCGGGGACTGCTGGAAGCCTACCCCCTTTAGCTACAATGGGACTTACAGGCCCCTGTGAAGGGCCGCTGCCCCCAGCTAACTCCTCACTAGACCCCGGATTCCCCCACCCCACCCAGGAATGGATAATAAACCCTCCAAGGCTCAGCTCCAAGTACTGCTTCTTGTGGGGAGCACAGTGGGCGAGACACACCACTGCCCTTGGCCTCCATTCACCTTGGTCTACTCTATCCCAGAAAAGACTTCTATTACGAAGGCACATGACAGCCAATGAAACACAAACTTTACCTGTCACATTGGTTTTAAAAGCCTGAAGCTGACAGCTCCTTCTTGGGAGTCTATGGGGGACCTCCCCTACATCACCAAGGGGCGAGCAAATTAGCGCAACTGTAGGGAGACGCCATGGGAAAAATCTAGCAAAATTGCCAACACCTTTACCCGTGGACACATTAATCCAATGTCTAGCGGTTTATCCCAGAGATCTGCTCACAAACACAGAGAAAAGTGTGTACACAGTGACTCACTGCAGAGCTGTTTGTCATAGCAACGTCTGGAAACAACCCAAACATCCATCTAAGGGAGAGAGCTTGCAGGCCTGAATAAACTATGGCACGTCCACACGGTGCAATTCTAGGGGGTCGTAAAAGGAGCGTGAAGGAGCATGTTCTCTGGGAGGAACCCAGAGGAAGAAAACAACATGGGTATAGAACAGTGATGGCGAACCTTTTGACCTCGGCATGTTTGCATTTCGAAAATCCCTAACTTAACTCTGCTGCCGTGTCACATATAGAAATTTTTTAATATTTCCAACCATAGTAAAACCAAGATTTTTATTTTTGATATTTATTTTATATATTTAAATGCCATTTAAACAATCTCTACAGAGTGCCAACTTCCGCATAAGAGAGGAGGATGTACATTGACTTATAAGTCTACTCATGTGTTTACATTGATTTACAGAAACTCTAGGAAAGTGGCTGCCTGTCCTCTTAGTCCCTTTAGGCAGCTATAACAAAATGCCACAGGCCGGGGGGCTTCTGAGCAGAAGTCTATTGCTCACAGCTCTGGAGACTGGAGATCCAAGGTCACGGTGCCAGCAAAGTCACATGAAGGCCCTCTTCTGGCCTGCAGACTGCTGACCTCTTCTGTCCTCACCTGTCTGAAGAAGTGCAGGGCTGGGTGGCGTCTCTGAGAGCTCTCGTCCTGCCCTGGAAGCTCCTCCCTCATAACTAAGCTCCTCTCAAAGGCCCATCTGCTCCCACAGCTCAGTGCCTTTCCCAGGCTGTACTTAGTGGGGCGCCCAGCCGTGCTTGTTGAAGGCCTGAGGGACTGACCCACAGCTTAGGAAATGCACATTCCAACGTACACCTACTCCTCACCCTGCCTTCCCCCACCCTGTCCCTTTTCTGTCCTTTTGCCCTAATCATGATTGTGGCTGTTCCCTTGGCTATGACCACACTGTCTCCCCCCCTAATGAGATGGCAAGAGAACCTGAGCCTTGCCCCTCAGAAAGGAGCCCAAGAACCCCAGAGTGTTCACTTCTCCCTCTCATGAGATCCGGTCCCTGGTGGTCCCCGCAGACAGCCAATTTCCCACCTCCTTCCCTGCTCATCCCTGGAGTCTACTTACCAGCATTTCTCTCCTGGCTTCTCCTTGCTTTAAGCCTGATGCAAACCCACGATACAAACGGAGACAAAGACGGGAAAGCTAGAGTCCCAGTCCTCAGAAGTCTAGGTCACGCTGGGGAGACGGGCCAGAAAGACAGGGCAGTGCCACTGAGAGGGCTGTCCCCAGACGGTCATCTCATTTTCCACACTGGAAGTCTGGTCTGACCTAGAGCCCGAGTGTGACCCCAGCATTCTCGAGTCTGCAGCATCCCGGGCCCTATTTAGCTCTATCGTCAGGTTCTCCTCAGGTGGGAGAAGGGAGACTAGTACATGTCCCCACCCAAGCCCTGGCCCTGACTCAAGATAGGAATACCCCAGAATCCTTATGGCCAGTATGACTGTTCCTCTGAAAATATAGGTGCATGGAGAAACCCAAGTCCAGCTGGCCAGCCAAGGGACCAGGACTTCTTGACAGGAACCTCCCAGCACTCACAGGGCCTGAGGGCAGCAGCGATGGGACAAGGTCTCTACAGCTGGAGAACCACAGTTACAAGGGCGACAACCACGAAGTCCTGGGGCTTGGAGTTGACTTGTGGAGTCTGTGCTGGTGGCCTCTGCCTAACCCTCCAGGTTCCCTGGGGACCAAGCCTCCATTGTCATCCCCCTTGGCCTCTGCTTGCCCCAAATCCTCCTTGTGGACTTACACACCTTCCAGAATCAGCCACCTGTCCTTCCTAGTGGGAGATAAGTCTCAGCTTCCATCCAAGCCAGCAGCCTGGCCTGCTGCGACAACTGCTCACCAGGGCCAGCGACATAACTTGTGGCCCCAAATGAAACTGCAGGCCAGGCCCCTGGTTCAAAAGTTAAGAATTCGAAGGTGGCACCGGGTGGTGTGGCTCAGTTGGTTGAAGCATCGTCCCATGCACTGAAAAGTGGCCGCTTAGATTCTTGGTCAGGCACATGGCACATACCCAGGTTGCAGGTTCCATCCCCAGTTGGGGCACATATGGGAAGAAACCAATTATGTATGGATGGGTGGAGCACACAATGTTTCTTGCTCTCCCTCTCTCTCTAAAAATAATTTTTTAAAAAAAAGGCATAACAAAGCGAGAAGTGACACAGGAAGTATGACCAGCATCCTCTTCACTGTGCCCCTCCAGAACTCCTGGTCTCAGCTCCAGAGACCTTTAAACCTTAGTG